GCCTAGGTACTTAGTGCGCTGAGTGTGCCACTCGCACTTTGGAAGCTTCAAGAACAGCTTAGCATCGCGCAGTCGATGCAGGACTTCCTTGACATGCTTCACATGCTCTTCTTCTGTGTTAGAGAAGATGAGGATGTCGTCTAAGTATACAATACAGGTCACATCAACTAATCCTGCAAGGACTTGGTAAATGTAAGCCTGGAACTGCGCAGGAGCGTTCGTGAGGCCGAAGGGCATCACAGTATACTCAAAATGGCCGTACCTTGTACGGAAAGCTGTCTTCCACTCCTCCCCTTCTTGGATTCTTACCCTGTGGTAAGCCTCCTTGACGTCTAACTTAGTGTAGTACTTTGCGCCTGCAAGCCTTTCTAAGGACTCATTAATAAGGGGCAGTGGGTGCCGGTTCTTGACAGTAATCCTGTTAAGACCCCGGTAGTCCACACAAAGACGCATTGTGCCGTCTTTCTTTTGGCAAAAAGGATAGGCGCCCCCGCTGGGACTTACTGTGCCTTATCCAGCCACGCGCCAAGTATTCCTCTAAATACTTGCGCAACAACTCAAGCTCAGTCTTGGAGAGGTTATACAACGGCTGGTGGGGTACCTTAGCCCCTTCCACGAGGTTGATAGCCAGATCCTGCGGTCCATGGTCCGCCAGGACCCTTGAGTCGTCCTCCGATCCCAATTGGGCAAATTCGAGTATTGCGGGGTAACTGCCCCTCCGGCCCCTTCTAGGCCGGTTTGGACCACTGAGGCAACAAGACAGCCATACACATCCGCAGTGGGATCGCGCATCGTCTTTTCGAACTCCTCAGCCTCCTCTACCGCAATCTTCCTGTAGACAGTCCTATCCTTGGACTTTGTACCCCGAAAAATCATTCTCCGTGTAGAGTAGCTGATCTTAGGCGAGTACATGTCTATCCAGGGCAACCCTAAGTATACCTGATACTTCTGAATGTCAGCCACTATAAACGGTACATTCTGGGTTTCTTCCTTTCCGCGCGCGTCTCTGATCCTAATGGCAACCTCTGTGGTTCCATAGACCTTTAACGCCTTACCATCCACCCCCTCTGCCAACAATCTTGGCAAGGGTCGGACTGTCAAGTCATGCTCCTTTGCGAGCATGGCGGAAATAAGGTTCAACTGCGAACCTCCATCAATCAAGGCTTCTACAAAGCCTGATTGGCCGATAGCCACCTTGGCTGTCAGTAACTTGGTTGGCTTTAGGTAAAGCACGTCATGAAGGAGCCCTAGATCCCGAGTCTCTGGGGAGTGTGCAATGTGGGCAGACAAGAAGGACTCTAGCTCCTCTGCCCACTGCCTTTCCCCGACTTGGGATTGGCCGACTCTTTTTGGGCCTCCTTCGGCTTGGGACAATCTTTCTGGAAATGTCCAGGTTCATTGCATCCCCAACAGGTCATGTTGGGGTCTTTTGGGCCGCTAGGGTCCGATTTGCGTTGCTTTTTCTTGAAGTTCCCCGCAAAGGCCTTCTTGGCCTTTTTCCGGGTCTTAGGGGGCCCCGCACGATCTTCATGTGTAGTTCTGGCGTGGCCCTCCCTTTTTGCGGTTGGATGCTCCGCCGTAGGTGCGGTTCGCTTTGTCTTGTTCCAAATAAACCGTGCCGCCGTGTTGACCTTGGATACTGTGTTGATATCCTCAGGGTCCCTACCCATGAGTTCCTTCTGTATCTCAGAGAGGAGTGCGCCCATGAAATCCATGCGGCGCTGTTCTTCGGAGACGTGTTCCATCTCGCTCCACAGTGTGTTGAGTCGAGCCAGAAGGACGTTCGGGTCCTGATCATGCCTCTGTCTGAGCCGTTTTAGGTCGTTATGGGCCTGGAGACGTCGCATCTCCAAGGGCCCGAGGCAGTCGAGCATCACCGCCTTAAGCTGAGCCCAGGTGGGCTCCCAAAAGGGGTCCTCTCGTAGGTGGTCTTCGCGATATGTATCCCAGGTGGATCTAACGGTTTCGTCTAGAAACCTAATCCCAAAGTCTACTCTTTGGGTGTCCGTTGCGAAGCGTGAGGGCGATCCCCTAAAGATTGCCTCACAGTCGCGCGCCCAGCAGTTATACTGCTGGCGATCGCGGTTTGCAAACGTCTCCGGGTCCTTAGGGCGAGGGGCGCCTAGATCAGTGACGCTCTCTACCCTTCGGGGTGATGGTGCGGGGAGAGAGACCTCATCGAAGACAGATAAGTCTCCCTGTTGCACTTTGCGTTTGAGTTCCCTTAGCTTGGTCAGCTCGCGGAGGTTTTCCTCCCGCTGGCGCCAACGCCTGAGTTCCTCCAGCTCTCGTTCCAGCTCATCCTGTCTAGGGGCGTCCCCCCCGACAGTGGTGTTGGACTCTTCCTGAGAAGCCAGTTCAGGTAGTGCCCGTGTGTTCTGGCCTAGAACAGGGCGTCCTGGGTCGTTAGCGGTTGAGGTGGTCCCTTCCTGACGAACTTGCTCGTCAACGTCTGGTGTTGGGATGCGAGGGCTCGGGGAGTCGCGGTCTGTAACGTCCCCTACTAGGTCGACCCGTTGCTTGCTGGCCCTTCTTAAGTTGCGAGTTGAGGCGCTGGGTAGACCGGCTCTAGAGCTCATTGTTACAAAATCGGGTGCACATGGGTATCGTAGGGACAGCGGTTCGAATGTCAAGCAATAGAGTCTTTATAGATACGAGATGCACCGCGATAGTGGAAGTAGAGGTATATTGCCTTGTAAGACTAGAGACGAACCGCTGTCGAGCCACAACAGCGGTAAGGTAGGCTAATATACTGCGATTGCTTGGCATACCGGCCCGAACGGGCCCGGAGTAACCTGGTGCCTGACACAGGCTATCGTGTGCCAATATCGAGAAAATCGAGTGTATTGGTAGTTGGCTTCATCAGGGATTAATTACGCCTTCATCCAGGTCTAGAAGGGGATTTCAACTTGAACCAGGCGAAAATAAGGCTATCTAGGGCTGGATAGATGAAGTGATTGATGAGATAACGTAGTTTAAGGACACTTAGCTAGCTAATTGATTTTTTATAGCTTATGTCATCGATAACGATCGATATCGACGTCGATATCGATATAAAAAACTTCGAATCGATATCGATATGAAATCTGCTATTTTATATCGATATCGATATGCCCATGTCTGTGAGTGCAGCATTGCCCGCGGATCTGGCCGCAATCCTTGCTGGGTTTGGCGTTTACTAGCGAACAAATAGAGGCATGAGATGGTAGAGGAGAAGGAGACTAGCCAGAAGCCAGCTCGCATGGTTTGGGCCTCAATTTGGATGACTCCAGGGGGTAGAATTGGGCGTAGTCCTCTAGTAATCATGACCCGCGACGCATCAGCAAAGCGCAACGGGTATACAAGCCTCAGCTACACTAGGGCTCTTGAGGAAGGACTCCGCGATTACTACAGACCAGGCGAGTTGTTTATGCAGGATAACGCACTAATACACACTGCCCATCACTCGAGGGAGTGGTTAGAGCTTTATGGTGTTCATACTATCGATTGGCCACCATACTCACCCGACCTCAACCCGATAGAACACTTGTGGTGGAGTCTTAAAAAGGAGCTCCATAAGCGCAAACCTCCTCTCGATCATATGGGAGGCTCAGAAAGTGAGTGGGCTGAATTTGAGATGGGCTTGAAGGAGGCGTGGGCTGCTATACCCGAAAAACTGGTGCGCAGCCTCATTACGTCTATGCCGCGACGTATCAACGCAGTTCTTCAGGCAAGAGGGTACCAGACACGATATTGAGGCAATTACTATCATTTCTGTCGTTTCAGAATTTTATCTGGGGCTTTTTTGATAGAGTTGCGTTGAGTTGAAATCTATGAGAGTTTCTGAGTTCGTGGCCCGTGCGTTTAGCGCAAACAGACTTTTGGCTTAGTACTGTATATGTGCCCTCAGCAAAGGTCATGGCCGGTGCGGGTCGGCCGCCCTCTCTGCATAAAATGTCGGTAACTCAGCGCTATCTTGCTAAATCACGACCCAAAATGCACATATTGCGCCCATAGCAACGGCCGCTTGCGGTATTCTTTGCTCTCCCGTACCTTCACAACCGCCTTGTGCGTAGAGCGCGAGCATAATTTGAGCATAGCTACGATCTAGCGATTAACTCGCGTTGCACATAGATTATGCGGCTAAGCAACGCTAAGCACTGCGCCTGCTCGTAGTCATCTCGCTAGTCACGCCCCGCTTGCCTAAGCACGTGATTTGGGGCGACACAAGAGGGTACTTGCCAGTCATAATTTATGCTGACACAAGTACGAGAAGCTTTAAAATAGTAAGGGACAAATTAAAATTGTGCATCTGTGTCGTCCTACAGAGTTTCTCGTGAGAGTCGCACGCATTATGGTCTCGAAAACCACCCTACAACAACCTAGGTTAGACTATGGGCAAACCACCTGATCCGCGCTGCTTGGCTAAACTATCCACGGACGGTTGGGTTTAGCTTCCGCAGCAGGTTTGATCCATATTGCTCGCTCTAGCACCCAACCTGCTCGAGTTGTGCTTGGCTAAACGGGATCTGTTTGGGCTCCCGTAGTGGGGTGCCAGACGTTAATTGGCTGCGAGCTTCTAACACAGCGACTAAGGTAATTTGGAAGAAGGCAATTATGTAAGGGAAAGTAACGATTATCAAGACATGTTTAGTGCCAGTAATAATCCGGATAATGGCATGGTCAAAATTTCAGTACAATACACCTTAGCGACGCCCTGAAAGATTGAATAACCTGATTTGCTAGCTTGGTTACGGCAGTTTCCGTCCTTGCCCCACCTTAAAAGGGCACCTGTACCCCGCTACTAGAGCTTCCTTATTCCATCCTACGTTTTGCCATGTAATATATCGTTTCTAGACTCGACTAGTATGTCTTCCCTGTGGTATCCCAATCATAGGACCTCCAACAACACGATATATTTAGATGATTTGGAAATCTCCTTTCGACGCACTGTCCGGGTTCCGGATAGTGAGACTCTTTCAGCCTTGCCTCCTTCATTAGGCACCTTCCCTATCTTCAAAATGAAAGACTTCGTAGAAGCACTGCCTTGCGAAATGAGTATGAAGGGTGGCTTATTCATGCCTCTTTATCGTAAGTTTTTCTCTGCGCGCTACGCTAAAAATACACAACTTTACGGCCCAAAGCTTACATCTTTCTTTTGGGATGAACCAGAACGAGAAGCAATGTGGATCCAGTTCCGCAGCAATCAGCCGTATGCCATTAAGATCCATGCCGGTGGTGTCAATGCGATTTCCGGAGAGCCCATGGTTGAGACCGCAGCCACGAGATTGCGCCGGCAAAATCTTGTGCGGCAAAAGAAGTCTGTTCAAGATTATATTGTCATACCGGAGCAGCGCTGGCTTGATGGAATCGTGACTGAAAGTGGGCAGGTGCGGCAGTTTGTTGCGATGCTACAGGGGTCCCACTACTCAGTTGAGATGCAGATGACGGGACAAGAGGTGACTGGTGGATTGCAGTTTGAGGTAACCCCTTCTGAACGGGACGTTTTGGTACTCAAGATCATCAAGATAAAACAGTCTGTCGAATATCGGGTTCACTGGAATGAAACATTGAAAGCTTTTCGCCGCATGCTAGAAGAGGACTCAAGGGTAGAATTTGGGCCACGAGACTACATTTGGTGTGAACATTTATATCCTAGCACTAAAACGCGCTCATACATTTGCATCAGGGGTAAGACACACATTTCGTATCATGAAGGCCCACAGCCATTCAGTGTTAACAGAGAATAGATTTTGACACAACATTCTCTCAGCTCGGGTATCTTCACGTATGTTATATGTAATGAGATGAGTGCAGCCAACGTCTAACATAGTCAGGGTAGTGACGTTAAATTGGTGCAACATCATTCTTGGATCGGCTTTATATGCGTTAAGACTCTTACTGGTAAGACTATTGTGATCCAATGTGAATCTTCCTACACAATAGACAGCATAATGGGAAAGATCCAGGACAAGGAAGGCATACCAACAGATCAGCAAAGGTTGATTTTCGCTGGCCAACAGCTCAATCCGGGTACATCGACCCAGTCCCGACAAAGTCTTCTTTAACTAATAGTTACCAGAATTTACTTTGGCTGAATATGGCATCGCTAAGTTAAGAATCAAGCATTGGGCAATTACGAATAATTCTGAGTAGAGGTAGGAATCCACAATGCATCTTGTCCTCCGCCTCAGAGGGGGAGGAGACAGCCATGTCCAACCTCCAGTATCCAGTCAACCTGAAATGGGTATCGCAGCTGGAGGCGCCATCAAGCAATCAATCGTACAGGACCCCGGCAGATCATGGCGTAAATCAGAGACCAAAACATTCAACGTACAAATCCTAAACAGTGTCCACTTTCGACATGTGACTGGTCAGCAACCACCACAACCTCCCATCGACGCTCAGACCTACGCGCGACTTGGTTACCCATTCTACAGTATATACGAGGAACCAAGCGATGTAACTGGGGATTTTTAGGATATACAGTCCGTAGGCCAGATCGATGGGTTCCAGGAATCTCATATTCGTCCAAAAGTAGTACGTTTACCGAAAGAAAAGGGGAATGAGCCAAACGAGGGTTCTAAAGATGACTCGACTGGTTCAGACCACGAGGCCACTAATCCTGCAATAAGCGACGATCACATTTCTTCTTGGGAAAATCACCACGTCTCTTCTCATTCCCTGAGACCTTCTGGTGAGCCACCGACCAATACGCCGAGAACTTTGCATGCACAGGTTGGGTTTTGGAACGCAGTAAACCCTGTCGCTGAATTCAGGGATGTGTTTGCCCTGGAGAGGGAAATGAAGCAGTATGGAGAATCATTGTTTTAACATCGCCTGCCCAGTTTCAGTTATCCAGTCTAAGACTAATTGTTATTTCAACAAGCTTAGTCTAAGCACGTCCAGATAAGCAAAAGTATGCTATAGCGATTCGATTAAAAGCTGTAAACTTGCAAGACTCGCTAGGCGAAGAGTTTGTTATGAACGACTTCCTGCACGACACCGGTCTCGTACATCGGGACTAATCTGATATCCACAATCCTCACAGGCAAACCCATTGCCAGTACCTTTTGCTCCGCGGTAATTATATCGAGCCCTAGGGAATAACTTGACTCTCTTGTAGTACAAAAAGTACCCTCAATCGTTCTTTTAGAAATGCTGGTAGCGTCTGGAAGAAGGCGGGTATATGGATAACCGTTTGAATAACCCATAACTATTGTGTGATGGCCTCGGTCGTTATCTTCAAATGCTACTGTGAGTGACACTTGCCAATTGACCTCACTGGTACATGAAATCGGACTGTGGACAATTCTGTTTTGTGGATCCCAACACTCAGCAGGCTGGACATTGCTGATATAAATACCGGAAACCGAAGGAAAAGTTCGTATCCAAAAGCCAGGCGGAGGGAGTTTGCTTTCTATGGAAGGAAAAACAGACATCTTTGGCATTTGTTTAACGTAAATGGCTCTGTTAGTTAACACTGCGACGTGATCCCGTGGAATAGTATACGGCTTAGTGCAACCCCTGGTAAATTGACATCCTCCAAGTGCCTTTAGCGGCATCACCAAGACATGTAGCAAGCTGTCTTCAGGCCGGCAAGCCAAGACCGCAATGTCGTCATACGGAACAGAATTATTCTTGTAAACAGGGACTACCAGTCGCACGCCTTTGTTGGTGAGAGTGTAAGGTTCTTCAATTTCGGCTACTTCGTCGGGAATAATATTTCCACAGGTTGCAAACTCGGAGGGGGAGCTTGCGAATAATCCTCGTAGTTGGTTTGTAGCTCTCGTGCGTTCATGCAATTCTGATGAAGGTGTTGATGTTGACTCCGGCTCTCCCCATGCAAAAAGCGACTGATCATCTGAGACTCTCATAATTTCCTCCTGTAATCTGACAAAAGCTCTTTCGCCTTCGCCGTAGAGCAATGGAATGTTGACACCGAAAATGCCCAGGAGACAATACGCAGTATCTTCTAGTCGAGTAGTGACTCGCCCTGACGCCCAAGACATCTTCTTCGCGATGCTTGCTTGATCCATACTCTTGTCTCCTGAAAGAAAGGCGACATCGATCTTAGTAAGGGTGGAAATAATGTTGGCAAAAGTATCTTTGGATCCCACGTTACTCCAGTCATTAGAAAAGAAGCGTACATCCGTAGGTGCCAGAAGTTCTTGTAGTGTCCACCCTCTCGTGAACCACCTGCTTCTAGCGAACTTCACGGCGACGACTGCCGGAGGGTGTGTATTGTAACCAGGAACATCAGCTAGATATGCATAACAAATCTTCGCATTCTTGTACCATCGAAACATTGAATTGATAGCCTCAGATAGCTCAGAGCTGCTACTTTTGTCAATGCAGCAAGTATCGACCCAGAAAAACTGTAAGCTATTATACGCAACTTGCTTTGCGCAGAAGGTAAGCTTGCCGTAACCAGCCTTGTTCTTGCCTACACCCTCTATCAAGTCTCTGAAGGTTACTTCTTCATGATCTGGACCCCAGGTGTGCGAAAGAATCGCGTATGGCGGGATAAGGCTGCCGAAATATTCGACTAGGCTGAATTCGCCGTCGTCTTGAAGTCGCAAAAGACGCATGAGGAGAGAGCTGTGAGCAAGCTCAGGCTAGAGAAATCCTCAGGACGGTACTATAGTGGTAAACAGAATATGCACAAATCGAGCAGCTAAGGAGCTGCTACTGCATTTGTTGGCAGTTACGTAGAGGGCGACTTACAGGATAGGTGTTGGAGAGGATCGTGGGGCAGGCAGCAGCAACGTGTTCAACGGCGAAACGATCCACCGTTGGTGGGGCACGTTGCAGGAACACTCCGCAACCCTTCGCTTAGCATATGTCTATATTTGACCCCAACTTCGCTCGCGGCTTCTGCAGAAGCGACCACCCAACAACGCATTCCCATGAACTCTAATGCAGTGGCAAGCTACCACGCACGTGTGTGTGTGAGTTCTATTATGGCCATGCACCCGATAGGTATAGGCCTTTACGATGCGCCAGCTATATATTCTCTAATTCAGAAGCCAACCGGAGCGATGCTGCAACCCTGCGGCTGGTGCGGGTCGGCCGTAGTTCCCGTTAGCGGTGGCAACGTCTGGAGTCACAACATTTTAATAGCTATTCTATACCACACATAAGAATACACATACAGCTAGCGCACTCCGCACTTGCAGGATTAAAACGTTAAATACATTGTTCGTTGAGTGACCCACCCTGGCTCGTAGGAAAGATGGTCTAGACCAGCTTGTGCCCCGATCCATACTGGTCTTCAAATGTTATGCTTCCTCGGTCCTGCTCATCTACGCCTCTCGCTATACTAGAGCCACTACTCAAGTCAACCCCTCGGCTTTTGGCTAGCTCTTGCAAGGCAGCATCGGTCATTTGTCCTAGCCATTGTGTTGCTCCAACACCCGCAGTAACACGCTTTGCTGAAATGAGGTCGCTAAGCGTAGATACAACGACTTGATGAGCATCCTGAGCAGCAGAGACATCCTCGAACACGTTTGTTCTCACCTTGTCTGCGTGCTCGAAAGCTTGAGCGCATACCGTGAGACACCCTTTGGCGCTGTCAATCTCCTCCTGTATCCGCCTTCTACTAGCTATGTTCTCATTGTTCGCGCTGCTTTCCTGGATGCTGAGCGCTTCTAGCTTCCCGCCGAGGTTCTCAAGGTGATCTTTCAGGTCGGTGTCCGTGTTTTTGAGCATTTTCTTAAACTCTTGGACGGCACTCGCGCTGACAGCAGCTGTACGTCTAGTAGCGAGACGCGTTAGCTTAAAGAGTAAAACGTAGACAGTGAAAACGTACAGATTGATATCCCCGATCGCAATGCCAATCGTCGCTTTGTATCTAGCAATCATGTTCTTAAACCTAACAATATCGCTGCCCAGATACTGCAGCTTTGCCTAGTCCTGGAAGCTCGTTTTCGACTCACTAGAGTGCTTCGTACAGTTGGCGATGACCTTCTCGAAGTCTTTACAAGCCTGGCCGCAGCGAAACAAAGGGAGACACAGGATCTTGAACTGATCTTCCTCCTTAGAAGCGAGTTAGTGGAGCGACTCTATAACGTTGCTAAGCGCCTCTAGTTCCCCTTTCAGCTCGCGAATTTCCCTCTTATTACTTTAGAAACTTTTGACAGATTAATAGAGCAAGACGCTAGATTTGAAAGTAAATATGCTAAGGGTAAGAACGCTAGAGGCGATACTAAGCGGGTCGCCCATTTCTCAATGAAGTCGAATAAGCTTACAAGGACAGTAGACAGGCAGCAGTAGAAAAGAGTGTAAGGCTACGGAGAAGCAGCTGATGTTCATGCTATTCTTAGGTCGTGCTAGCCTAGAAACGGGCGCCTGTACTACTAGCGTAAGCAGGAACCCCGTACTCCTTTTAGCTTATCTGCTATAATACTAATCTATAGGATCTCCACGTAGTGTTTGATGTTAGTTTTTATTTATGTTGAGAGCTCTCTAATAAGCTAACGACTTCGTTAACCTTCTAATTAATAAAGATCGAAAACATCTACGCTAGTGCAGAGGCAACGCAGATTATTTAAGTAAAGGCTAAAGGTCTGTTTTGCTTAGTTAAGACTCTTTACTAGGCTATTACTCTGGTGCAATAGGTAGCTAACATCGTACCGCAGAACTGCAGCTGAGCTTCTTTAAGACCTCGAACTACGGGTCCTACAAAAATGACCCGAACCCTGTGCAGGTGCCAGGAACCTGTGCATGGTTTTTAGAACATCCTACGTTCCAGAAGTAGAGAGCTAGTATCGACGACGACCTCCTCTAGCTCTCCGCTAATCCTAGTTGTAGTAAGTTAGTCTTGTCGCGAGTATTAATTGATGAGAAGCTGTTAGGCACGGAATCTGCTACGATCTGCCACTTCTTCTTCAAAGACAACAATAAGCAAAACAACACTGCAACAGCACTGTGCGCACTACTTTATTAGTTTTTTAGTGCACATAATGGCCTCCTCTAAAAACACATCGCTTTAGCAGTAAAGAAATGTAGTCCCGCTCTTATTAATAGCTTTGAAGAGCTATAGCAAATTTTCATTTCTGCAGCGACGGACCCTACTGCTGGTGATGTTATCTGCGTCCTCGATGCACTCGACGAATGTCGAAAGTCCGACTGGGACAAACTTATTGCCCGCCTACAACGCTTCTATAGCCGCTCTTTAGGCAAGCTTAGGCAAGAATCTAGGTTAAAGTTCCTTGTAACTAGCCGTCCGTACACTAAGATTAAGCGCGGTTTCTATAAATTAGCAGCTATAATTCTAACTATTTAACTAGCTGGGGAAGAGGAATTAGATAAGATTAGCTACGAAATTGCAATTGTTATTAAAGTAAGGGTTAGAGACATAGCTAAGAAGCGGAGCCTAAAGGAAGATGTGCGACTATCCCTGCAAAAGCGGCTCTGCGAGATTCCTAACAGGACCTATCTCTAGCTGCATTTAACATTAGATTAGGTTGAGAAAGGAATAGGAAAGACGAAGAAGAAGGTGCTTAACGTTATTAATAGTCTGCCTAGGACAGTTAAGGAAGCATATAAGAAGATGCTAGCAAGATGTGAACAGAAAGAGGCTACAAAGGTGTTGCAGATCCTTGTTGTAGCCTAACGCCTGTTAACGTTAAGTAAGGCTAATGTAGCTTTAGAGATTAGACTAGACTTAACATCTTACGAGGATCTCGACCTTGAAGGTGATTAGGACAGGAAGGAATAGATCCGCGAATCGTGTAGGTTGTTTGTTAGTATTGTAGACTCCTGTATCTTCTTAATCTATTAGACAGCTAGAGAGTTCCTAGTACGGACAAACGACGAAATGTCTGGGCCGCAGGGGTGGCGACATTTAATTAACCTCTAAGGAGCGCATTAGGTGCTGTTAGAGATATGCATTACATATCTACTATTCCAGGAATTCTAAGAACGCCGCACACCAGCTAATACCGATGAGTCTTACTTTCTAGAAATTACTTCTGACGTTTAAGAGAGTACTAAGAAGTACGCATTTTTGGACTATTCGGCAAAATATTGGATATATCACGTTCAAGAAGCCGGAATTAGTAGGACGGATTGGATCTTAAAGACTGCAAAACTCTGCGACACTGGCAATGCGGCATCCTGCATTTGGTTTAGGATCTACAGCGAGGTAAACTTTCGTTTGTACTCATACAGTCAATCAAGCCAAACGGCGCTGTATTAGGCAGTTGTATTTGGGCTAATCAATGAGACAAGGCTTCTTCTGGAAAGCAGCACTGATTGCGATAGTCAAGAAAGCACCCTTAAGTATGTAGTTTTAGAGGCTGCCAAGAATAATGATTATGGGAAAGAGCTCCTGACGATCCTTCTCGACCGGCGGGGAGCAGACGTTCTAATCACCGAAAAGGTGGTTGTGGCGGCTGCAGCGAACTACGGCAACAGCAAGGAGGTGATGACGCTCCTTCTCGACCGGCGGGGAGCAGACGTTCCAATCACAGAAGAGGTTGTAGCAGCAATCGTAAGAGGGTTTGATAAGGATGTGATGACGCTCCTTCTTGACCGGCGGGGAGCAGACGTTCCAATCACAGAAGAGGTGGTGAAGGCGGCTGCAGCCAACGACGGCAACGGCAAGGACGTTATGGCGCTACTTCTCGACAAGCGGGGAGCAGACGTTCCAATCACAGAAAAGGTGCTCGAGAAGGTTATATTTAACACCGGCAATGGCAAGGAAGTGATGACACTCCTTCTCGACAGACGAGAAAAGGAGGTGATTGAAGCTCTAGCACGACCGATCGGAGGATTTTCGTTGACCTTCGAGAAAACTAGCCCAAGTTCGTTTCGTGTACATCTCATGAGTGGTTGGCTCTATCGCAAGTTCGGAGTAAGAGCGTTGAACTCCTCATAGTACGTCGATGCCGGCGACATGCCGCTAAATAAGATAACACCTACTTTACCTTCATACCGCACTCGTTAGGCATATTAGGACTTAAGAGAGTGCCTCCAGGTCTTTTGGAGTTTGTAGTCAGAAAAGATTAAAGTAAGCTAACACAGATACAAATTTGTGAAGCATTGTAATCACGCTTAACAATAATAGGTAAAAGTTTTGACAGGAATTCACTCCGGAATGTTGCCACTTTTAGTAGGGAGGACGGCCGACCCGCACCGGCCACGCCCTTGCGCTGGAGGCGTTGATTTTGTTCTGGTGCGGATGAAGGAGGTTAGCATTGGCACCAGATATCGCCACTTCTAGCCGAGGCGCAGAGATGTCCATAGTCGACCAAGATCAGATAGGTCTAGAACTGGGCACCCGGAACCGATCTACGGGAACTAAAATAATACTCAATTATGCTAAGCAGATAAATTACGTGCACAGGGCATGTCATAGTGGTCTTGCAATGGCGTCGCGAATATAGACGCGAGTGCTCTACCTAACAACTAGCTCGCGACAAAAAACTATTCGCAATACGAAGACAATCTAAGAGATCCTACTGTAGAGTTAAACGCAACTGCTAGCTTGCAGTTAGACAGCTCGCCGTTCAAAGATCGAACTTAGGAATTAGCGAAGAATCAACCTATTCGTAGCGCTAAGGATATCTATTGCAAGAGCGACACACAGTTTAAACTCACGATCTAGAGTATGTTAATGTATAGAAAAGAGCAACGCGAAGCGCTAGTGCATTGCATAATAAGTCTTAATACAAAGTGCTACTAATGCAACCTTACCTACCGCCCGCTTCAGCGTTGTGAAACCCTAAAAACCTATCTATTACTGCGGAAATTCCTATCGACCTAATCCTTTAGCGCTCTTAAGCCCTTAACTAGCTAATATATCTGCACTGTATTCGCCGTGTTTCTAAAGGGAATCGAATAGAAGATCTGAATATTTAAACCTAGTTTGTACATATCTAAGCTTAATAGGTAGAGAGCGTTTAAGGGCATAACCTAGGCGAAGAAGAGCGACTACGCCTTAGATTAGATGTTAATAAATGAAAACACAGTCTGTTAGAGGATATAAGAGAGGTCTAGGACTATTACGACAGTAGGAGACAGGGTTAGTTCCTGCATCTGTGGCTGCTCTGGTCGCGAGATCCTGCTACCTCTCCCGCGGCATTTCCGTCGACCTTGTATAACTATTTCTAATTCTAATTAGCTAGGCCGTGCCTCTGCTGCCAGCTTCTTCACCCTAAGCGGAGCAAGCTGCCCTACGAGTGCCTCAATCTGTGCCGCCTACGCCGCCACCTACATGCCTAGTTGTACCTTCGCCTCCTCTACAGTCTAACTCTTAGTCTTAGTCTTAATTAATACAGCAATATGCTAAGCGCGCAGACCCTTGTAGCTAACGTAGTTAATAGAATTAGTTAACATGCTAATAAGGGATAGTATAATGTCGCGTTCGAGACTAGAGGGCTCAAGATAAATGGCGTAAACAAGGATCCCGCTAGTTATAAGGCTGTTTAAATGCGTGTAACGATACTCTAGTGTAATTCTAGCTGCAGTTCTAGATAGTGTTACTCTAGTTAGCGAAGCTCCTTGAGTGTCCTAAGTCGTAGACAGGCCAAAGAGTACTTACACGCTTCGGAACTCAACACTCGTCCTATCGTTTCCCAACGCTAGCTCTAGCACCTTAATGTACACGCGATTGTCCTGCCTAGTCTTATAGTCCTAGTTTACTAGATACTAGTACGACAGCAGAATAATGTCCTGTATAGTCTGCAGCTCCTACAGCAGGTCGTCTACTAGCCTTTTATCTAATATATTAAACTAGTGCTGCTCTACCTTGCCTATGTCCGCCTCCGCTAGCAATTTTTAATTTCACAGGCACTATTAGCCCGTCGCCCCTATCCTCTAGTTTCTCTAAGAGCGCAAGCCTGTTTCTACTAAGCTGTTCCTTTTACAAAGCGGTTGTGTTCGCCTAGTGTGTGCATATTACTTTATTTCTAACGTTCTACAAGGAAGTAATCTTCTAGGGGCTAGCTAAGCAGTTAGAAGCTTGCAACTATGTGTGCGATCGTGTAGGCGAACGGGCCTAAAGGAGGTCGTCGTCTTTAATAGGCTCGTTAGAAAGAACAACTTATATAAGAGATTAAGAATAAGGTATGTGCTACGAACGAGCGGTCTAGGCTAGGCATCGCATTATTAATATCGTTAGGCGAATGCGCGTCGTTAGGAAATTAGCGTTGATTTTAGGACGGCGAGGGCAGGCGTATGTACTTTTTATTAATGCTCTTTTTTAGGCGCGATGCATTGTTCTTAGGGGAAGCATAAACGTGTTCTGTTCGTTCGCCGCTATCTCGCCTAGCACAACACAGCGTATCTTCTTTTGCGGGCGCAGGCTCTTACAACTATTAGGCTGCTGTTGCTTGCAAGTGCGTAAGGGAGAGAAATACAGTCGAGTGCGGGCGCGAGGTTCGAGATCGCAGATCTAGGCAGCGACTAAGATAGAATGCGTTAAGGGCTAGGAGAAGTAGAGAGTAACAGAACAGTTCGGCCTTAAGTTCGATGTTGTTGTTACAGTAGCCTAGGCTTTAATTGACTTAGCGCGGTAACTATTAATTAGTAGTTATAATGTGCTAAGCGCTAACTTGCTAACCCTAGCATTAGAGCCTTAGGCAAAATAGCGCATAGCCTTAACTTAACGCATAGGTTAACGCGTTAGAACACAATAGGCACGTTTCTTTACCTTAACTTATGTATAGAGCTACATTGTTAAGAATTTAGGGTTACCTACTATTACATTGTTAAAATGCTAACGAGAAAGAGAGCGCTTGTAGAAGTTAATATAAACAATTTGCGAGAACTAAAGCTAGTAAAAAGACCTAACCGCGACTAAGAGCACGTATTAGTACTATAAGAATTTAGGGAGAAGAGCACTGAAGCCCCCTTTACTAGCGGGCTAGAACATATGTGTACACAAAAGCATGTTTGTAGTTAAAATAGCTCTACAACATGCTAACTCTTATATGCACAAGGAGGCGTTAACCCTACAACTAAAGTATGTAACGTACCCTAGACTAGCGTACAGCGTAGACCTAGAAGACATTAAAATAGGAAAGGAAATCTAACCGACCGCCGAAGAAGAGAAGCGGTATAATAGTAAGCCTGCTGAGGAGTTCCCTAATTAGCCCTACGTAATCTCTAAAGCTACGGCCGAGCTTGTTACGAAGTATAGCCTTAAATCTTCTAAGCGTAACTAGGATATTTTTAGCATGTATGTCTTAAACGACTTTACTAGGTACGGGATGCAGGAGGTTATAGAGAACTAACTTACAGGAATTAACGCGCTTATAGCTAAGCGACAACTCCTAGCTAATAAGCTTGCTGTTAGGCTCTAGTTACGCTTGTTAGCTTTCGCCTACTAGACTTAATCGCAACAACTAGGGCCTTAGTTTATATTAGACGATAGTTAGCGCTAGCAGGACACTGTCGTAATAATTAGTATCGCAATCTTAGCTATACTAAACGCTCTTAATTAGGCGAAGCTGCTAAAAGAGCACTCCCCTGTTAAGGACCTAGGTCTAGTTCTCGCACTTCTTAGAGACTTTATTTACGACTGTCTAGATCAAACTACAACAATTCTATATCTATTATTAAATACTAGAGAAGTCTGCTAGCTGTACAAAATTGTCTCCTATGCTAAGGCTAGCAGTGTTACGGGGTCGGCAGGCAGGGAAGGTAGGTGCACGTGATTAGTATATTCACTACGATATCGCTAATAGTACGGGGTTAGGCTAAGACAAGGACGTAGCTTAAGGAGCGTACGACAGGGCGCGTTCGCGCAGGAATTTCAGCGATCGCGCAGCTGCTCGCTTAGCAGCTTAGCGCGCTCTAATAGGCTATCTAGGTTAGCGCCGTAACAAGGGGTAGCTGTTATTACTTGCTCTTAATAGTAGCCTTCTTCGTTCCTTACCCCTAGGGGCAACCTAACCCTACACTATAAGTACAGTTTAGGTATATAGTATAGACTGCGCTAGCTTACATTGTTAATTAGATATTATGCATAACTAAAGAGGTATTTTAGTAGGTACATTCATAACCCTACAGACGCTCGCAACTACCGCATTACTAACGTAGTTTATATCGTGCACGGGCTCGTGATGTGTATAGACGCGTGATGCTACATATAATGCTCTGCGTTAAGTGCCTTAACTTAGAATCTACTACAATAGGAAGTTAACCTAGCAGCCGTGAACGCTAATTTGCAAATGTTGCCCTTGAAAATATTCGTATCTGGCTTGATTGTCGAATTATTCACGATGTTAACATTATTCTCCTTAAAGTAATTCTTCTCGATAGTGTTACCTAATACCTTTGACCTAGTAGTGTTATTTGTGATGGGCTGGAGCCCAGTTAGTGAGTCCTCGATGATATCTCGGTCACGTGCGCGAGGCGCACTGTCCACAGATTCCGGGTGCCCCCCCTGAGCACCCGGATTCTGCGTAAGCGAGCCCGGCAGAAGGTTATCCCGAGCCGCCGCCCCCTGAACGACCTTCAGAACCCTAGCTACCTGTAGTTCTCTTCTCTATCGAATACAACTCTAGTATACCTGTGCGATAGCTCCCTAAGCGTAGCCCCTTACATTATTATTAGTAAGGTATAGGCTAACTACTTTCTTGTCCTTAGAATTAATAAACTAGATAGTGTTCCTATTAACTAGAGTGTTAATAGACCCTAATAAGATAATTCTAGCAGCAGCTTTATCGGGACAGGCAGGATTGCGGCTTGTAATAGTGTTTTTAAGGAGCTTCGCACCATTAACACTAGGATCGACGAAAGGCCTAATGCAGCAACTCTTAACTGTATTGCCTTTAACAAGACTACTAGAGGTCTAGGTACAGAGTGCGATAATGTAGTCCGAGATGTTATTTCCTATAAACTTAGCACCCGACTAGTTGTCTATGCACATAG